ATTTTACATTTATGTCTATGATCCATTTTATGTTAGTTTTTGTGAAAAGTATAAGGTCTGTCTAGATTAATGTTTTTTTTTGCATGTGGATGTCCAGTTGTTGCAGTACCATTTGTTGAAGATACTATTTTTGCTCCATTGTGTTGCCTTTGCTGCTTTGTCAAATATCAGCTGACTATATTTATGGGAGTCTATTTCTGGACTCACTATTATGTTTTATTGATTTATTTGCCTATTCTTTTGCCAGTAGCACACTGTCTTGATTGCTGTAGCTTTATAGTAAATCTAGAAGTCAAGTAATGTCAACTTTGTTCTTCTCCTTCAATATTGTGTTGGATATTTTGGGTCTTTTGCTTCTCCATATAAACTTTAGAATCAGTTTGTCAATATCCACAGAATAACTTGCTGGGATTTTGAATGAGATTGCATTGAATCTGTTGGTCAACAGATCAAAGTTGGGACAAACTGACATCTTGACAATATTGAGTCTTCCTATCCATGAACATGGAATATCTCTCCATTTATTTAGTTTTTCTTTGATTCATTCATCAGAGTTTTGTGCTTTTCCTCATGTAGATCTTTATACATATTTTGTAATATTTATATGTAAGTATTTAATTTTTTGTGGTGCTAATATAAATGTAATATGTTTGTAGTTTCAAAATCCACTTGTTCATTGCTGGTATATAGGAAAATGATTGAATTTTGTATATTAACCTGTATCCTGTGGCTATGCTGTAATTGCTTATTAATTCCAGGAGTTTTTTTGTTGATTGTTTTGTATTTCCTATGTAGACAGTCACATCATCTGTGAACAAAGATGATTTTATTTCTTCCTTCCCAATCTTTTTTTTTACATTTTTGTCTTATTGCATTAGCTAGGACTTCCAGTAGGAAGTTGAAAAGGAGTGGTGAGAAGAGACATCCTTGCCTTGTTCTGATCTTAGTGGGAAATCTTCGAGTTTCATACTATTAAGTATGACATTAGCTGTAGGTTTTTTTGTACGTGTTCCTTCTCATGTTGAGGAAGTTCCCCTCTAGTCCTAGTTTGCTGAGAGTTTTTATCATGAATTTGTGTTGGATTTTGTAAAATGTTTTTTCTGCATCTATTGATATGATCATGTGATTTTTCTTCTTTAGCCTGTCAATGTGATGGATTACATTAATTGATTTTCAAATGTCGAACCAGCCTTACATACCTGGATAATTTCCACTTGGTCATGGTGTATGTCTTTTCATCCATTGTTGGATTCTATTTTCTAATATTTTGTTGAGGATTTTTGCATCTATGTTCATGAGCAATATTAGTCTGTAGTCTTCTTTTCTTGTAATGTCTTTGTCTGGTTTTGGTATTAGGGTATTACTGGCCTCATAGAATGAGTTAGGAAGTCTTCTCTCTACTTCTGTCTTCTGAAAGAGATTGTAAAGAATTGGTACAATTTCTTCCTTACATGTTTTAAAGAATACACCAGTGAACCCATCTGGGCCTGGTGCTTTTTTGGAAGCTTGTTAATTATTGATTCAATTTCTTTAGTAGATGTAGGCCTATTCAGATTGTCTATTTTTTCTTGTGTGAGCTTTGGCAAATTGTATATTTCAAGAAATTGGTCCATTTCATCTAGGTTATCAAATTTGTGGGCATAGAGCAGTTTCCTAGTTACTTTATTATCCCTTTAATGTCTGTTGGATCTGTAGTGATGTCCCCTTTTATATTCCTGGTATTAGTAATTTGTGTTTTCTCTCTTTTTTTCTTAGCCTGGACAGAGGCTTATCAATTTTATTGATCTTCTCAGAGAACCAGCTTTGTTTCATTGATTTCCTTATTGATTTCCTCTGTTTTTTATTTCATTGATCTCTGCTTTAATTTTTATTATTTCTTTTCTTCTGCTTACTTTAGATTTAAATTGCTCTACTTTTTCTAATTTCCTAAGGTGGGAACTTATATTATTAATTTTAAATCTTTCTTCTTTTCTAATTATGCATTCAGTACTTTGAATTTTCCTGTTAGCAGTGCTTTTTCTACAAATTTTGATAAGTTGTATTTTCCTTTTCATTTAGTTCAAAATATTTTTAAATTTCTCTTGAGATTTTTTCCTTTGATCATGTGTTATTTAGAAGTGTGTTGTTTAATCTCTTAGTATTTTGGAATTTTCCAACTATCTTTCTGTTACAGATTTCTAGTTTAATTCCTTTGTGCTCTGGGAGCGGACATTGTATGATTTCTGTTCTTTTAAATTTATTAAGGTGTGTTTCTTTGTCCTAAAATGTGGCCTGTTTTGGCTTGAGAAGAAGGTATATTCTGCTGTTTTTGGATGAAGTAGTCTACAGATGTCAATTATATTCAATTGATTGATGGTGCTTGTTGAGTTCATCTGTGTCCTTACTGATTTTCTGGCTGATGGATCTGTCCATTTCTGATGGGGGATGTTGAAGTCTCCAACTATAATAGTGGCTTTGTCTACTTCTCTTTGCTGTTCTATTAGTTTTTGCCTCATGTATTTTGATGCTCTTTTGTAAGGCACACACACATTAAGGGTTGTTATGTCTTCCTGGAGAATTGATCCCTTTATCGTTATGTGATGCCCCTCTTTATACCTCATAATTTTCCTTGCTTTGAAATCTGCTTTGTCTGAAATTTGTATAGGGATTCCAGCTTTGTTTTGATTAGTGTTAGCATGATATATCTTTTTCCATTCCTTTACTTTTAATCTATATGTTTCTTTATTTAAGTGAGTTTCTTGTAGACAATATATAGTGGGTTTTATCTTTTCATCTACTCTGACAATCTGTCTCTTAATTGGTGTATTTAGCCCATTGATGTTTAAAGTGATTATTGATATAGTTGGATTAATACTTATCTTACTTGTTAATGTTTTCTATTTGTTGTCCTTGTTATTTATTTTTATTTTTCTCTTTGACCATCATTTCTTCAAGTATTTTTTCTGTCATTCTCCCTCCCTTGAGACTCAAATTATATTTATGTTAAGCTGCTTAATATTACCTCAAAGGTAATTGATGCCCTTTTATTTTTCTTTGTAGTCTTTTTCTGTGTGTTTCATTTTGAGTAGTTTCTATTCCTATGTGTTCTAGTTCACTGATCTTCTGCAGTGTCTAAAGAGCTGTTCGTCTCAATGTGATTTTAAATTTCAGCTACTACATTTTTCAACTTGAGAAGCTTCATTCATACATATATATACATGTGTGTGTGAAAGATATGTACGTGTGAAGGAAAAGAAAGATATGCATATATCTTATATATCATGTATCTTTCATTTTTCTCCTCTGTTACTTTTTGAATGGATGCTGGATATTGCAAATTTTACTTGTTGGGTGCCCGATTTTGTTATATTCTTTTAATTGGTGTTGGACTTTGCTCTACTGAGTAATTAAATTACTTGGAATAAGTTGGATCCTTTTAAGGCTTGCTTTTAAGCTGTTAGGTGGATCTAGAGCAGCCTTTAATCTAGGAATAATTTAGCCCTGCTACTAAGTTGATGCTTTTCTAAGGATTCCATCCATTATTTCATGTAGCAGGAGCCATTCTGGCTGCTGAGAACACAAAGTATTCATGGCCCTGTATGAGATCTGAAATTTGTTCAGCCTACTGCTTCCTGGTGCTTCTTTTCCTGCCCTTAGGAGGTTTTCATTCACGTATGCACGGAGCAGTGCTCTGCCAAAGACTCAAAGGAACCTCTCTGTAGATAGCCAGGTATACCGCTCTCTCTCTGTACAGGTTCTTTTAGTCCAGTATTCTGCCTTACACGTCCTTCTTGCCTTGGGCTTGCTAAACTCCAGTCACTGTCTTCACAGCTCAGCAAGAAGGATAACTGAAAACTCTGGGTTCTGTCTGACTTTTTCCTCCCTACTCTGTGGCTTTGAAACTGTTTTCAGGTAGTAAGCTAGGGCAATTGTAGGGCCCATCTATTTTATTTTTCTTATCTTTGGGATTGTATCTTGCAGTGTCAGAAACCTTTGTTTCCTATTTTTGGTCTGTTTTATAGTTGTTTGGGGTAGGATGGTAAACCTTGCTACCATTATTCCAGAATGTCCAGAAGCAGGAGTCCCTCCATTGGTGTTTTGCATTTCCTTTCTTATGTATAGAGGTAATATCATAGGGTTTTTTTGCTGACATGTAGGAGGTCTGGTGGTCTTTGCCTCTTAGTTTAAGTCATTGTCTTTCTTTCCATCTTGATAAGTCTCTGTTGCCTATATAGGAAATCATGTGTTGCTGGGAAACAGAACTGTTCACTTCTCTTCTCTGTCACAGTGGAAGTGATGTCCTAAGCAGAGGTGATACAGATTTTGCCTGACGTATGGCATCACTTCTTAGAATATGCAACAACTCAGCTGTTGATTTTCCTCCCACTGCACATGGTTTTAGGCATATTCTTCAGCAGCTGAATTTACCACCTACTCCATTCTTGGGTTGTGAATCCATAGGCTTGAATTCCGCTCTGAGGGCCAAAGCTTTGTAACATGCTGAGTTGGTTGATTTGTTGCCCGGAAAATTGTTAGGGCAAAATTGATACTTTGATTGGGGAGAGAAAGAGGCAGATTTTTAGAAGAGAGATGTTCAACTCCAAATAATATAAAAGAATTTTGGCTTATTCTAAAGTCATGGTTAGAAATAGATATATCATGAGAAAGAGAAAGAAGTCCAATCCATAAATATTAAACTTTGTGGTGAGAGGGCACCATAAGATCATAAGTAGGGTAACCATACACCCTGTTTGCTATGTACAGTCCTGATTTACACTTGTTGTCCTGGAATAATTATTGATAACATCCCCTTTCACCCTTGAAAGTGTCATGGTTTTATATACATATATGTGTGATGCTTCTTATAAAGAATAGTTTAAAGAATACAAAGTAAGTGTTAATTCCTTGGTTATTGTTGTTCTTCTTGAATGATGGATTTACTGTTTACTTTATATTTTAAATAGTATATGGTGAGTAATAAGTGTGTGTGTGCTTTTTAACTTTTGGTATTCTTCCTGCAGATGATCTCAATGCCACCCACCAGCACTGTGTTTTGGCTGGTTTACCACCTCGGTTTAGTTCCACCCACCGAGTGGCGGAGGTAAGTGTAAATAAAAATGTGATTCAAACTCAATTGGATGTGACAGAAGTGGTTGAATGAGCAATTTATCATAGAACTTTGGAAGAGTATTTGATAGGAAAATTGCTTCCATCTAACTTGACTTGAGCCTCTATTTACTTACTTTTTTAGCTTTGAATTGTGTTGAATACAGTTTTAAAAAGCGTATCACAGCATGGTCTGAGTATATTTTGCTTCTTTGGGGTTATGTTTCTTGGAGAAGGTAAATGTCATTGGTAAGCGTTGCTAGTTTGAGATTTTATGAGGGGTTTGTATCTGTCAAGGTCAAGGGCAGGAGGTGGCCAGGAGGAAATGGAGCAGATTTGTGTGCTTGTGCATGCGTTAGCTATGTCTGGGCTCAAATGGTTGAGAATTTAAATTTCCCTTAACTTTTTGGTCAGGCTTCTGGGCATGTGAATGTAAATTAAGGACAAAGTTAGCAGTGGTGCCAAGGAATTTCTGAGCTCCCAAGTTGTGTTCATAACCCAGACTTTGTTGCTAAATTCTGCCACCACGTGCAGTGGCTGATGGTCAGCTGATTAGACTAGTTCAGAATGGAAACTTAAAAGAGGAGGGAAACACTTGGTGGTCGCTCGGGGGTACTGTGTGCTCAGTTAAGAAGAGTTCCAGAGAGTAGGGGAATAATCATGAAAAGGATTACAAGTTGGCCTCATATCCAAGCTTGTTATCTGTGCTTTGCTTTATAGCTTGACTTTTCATCATACCGGATGGGGTACAACCAAGTGGCAGGAACTCACAAGCATGAGACCTTTTCAGTCCTGAGATTGTGAGTCTAGAAGGCAGCGTCATGTCTTTTGGTAGTTAAGTAGCTTTTGTAGTGGCCTGGTCATGTTGCTGAGTGGCAAAGAGGGCATGGATGTCTATTTAAATCAAGATGCCAGCAAGCCCGTCAAGCATTCCTTTCTCCCTTTCTTCTCTCTTCCATTCACTTATTCATCTAAATATTTGAGTGCCTGTTATGTGTCCCACAGCACTCCAGGCTTGAGAGTAGAGCCATCAACATGACGATTATGGCCACTACCTCTGTGGAGCTTCCATTGTAGTTGGGAAGACAAATATTAAACAAATAAACACACAAGTAATTATCTTAAAGACCAACAAGTAAGTTCTGTTAAGTTCTGTTAGGGAGTCAGGAAGGAACGGAGAAGCAAAGGAGCAGAGGAAGGAGCGAAGGAAGGAGAAAAGGAGTGAGCACGCATTTATAGAGCATCTAACGCGTGCTTTGTGTTATACAAAAAAAAGACTTCATTTTTGTACAAGACAAGACATTATAGGCATCTGTCTTTCTAGCTGTAACCCTCCCAAGAGTCCTTTTCTTCTGGATCGGTTTGAGTGTGTACTACGTAAGTGTACGCTTCTTGCATCTTTCCTAATCTAACCTGGAAGAGTAGACAAGCTGATTAGTGCTGTGCTCAGAGGGCTGGTAAGAAATGATGAATAAAGAGTTTGGGGAAATATATTCAATAAGGATAACAATCATACCTAATTCATAGGATTCTTGTGCGGATTAAATGAGTTAATACATGTAAGTCTCTTAGAACAGTGGCTGGTATAGAGTGTGCATTCAAAGAATGTTGGCCACTACTGCTATTATTAAATTACTCTTATTACTATTATTGCTACTGCTACTGCCTTTCGTTTATCCTGATGAAAAGCTAATAGGAGACAGGGACAACCAACGCTCTCTGTGTGGAAGGCTAGTCTGTCTCCATTTATACACTAGAGTGTACATAATAAAGCAAGAGACATTCAGTCATCAATGAGTCTTGATAGTAAGAGTTGGTATTGATTGAAAGCTACTACTCAGAAGAAGGGAAGTAATTTTAGTTCATTCATCCATTCTACAAACTTGCTGAACTTCCAGTGTTCAAGGTATTCTTCTAGGCACTTGGGAACAGGAGTAGCTGACGTGTTTGGTGTGTTCAAGATGCTTACAGTCTAATAGAGAGTGGCAAACAACATGAGGCTTCATGGGTGAGGTTACACATGAGACTTGAACATGTAGGGATTAGGGGATTTTAGGACAGCTAATGAGATGAAGACTCAGGTGGGAATCTTGTGATTGGGATGAGATGGGGACACCCAGGGAGTATTGAGTGGCTGTACTCTGACTGGATAGCAGGATGCCAGAAGGGGAATGTTGGCAGATAAGGCTGATTCCTGTCTGGGACCAGATTGTGAAAGATCTTGGATTTCAGATTGGGTGTTTGAACTTAAGTTGGTTGGCAGGTGGGGGCTATTGATTATTTATTATTTTGGTGGTGACATATTGGAGATGTCTTTAGGAGGATGAAAATGATAGAGACATCAGTTAAACCTATCAGGGTCTGAACTAAGGTACTGAAAAAGAAAGAGCACAAAAAAGGGAGAAATTCCCATGACTAATGTAGGAGACATAGTGTCAGACTTGATGACTGGCTGACTGAAGTGGAGGGGGGAATGTAAGAATGAATGAATGAACGAACGGACAAACAGACGAACTCTTTATTGGATGCTTTCCATGTACCAGACTCTTGGATGACTGCGAGGTTTCACGCCTGGGTGATTTGGGGATGCCATTACCATCAGCAGAAACAGGGAGCCTAAGACATTAGGGGAGGATAATAGTTCGTTCAGTTTTGAACAGGCCGGGTTGGAGCTGCGAAGTGGAGAGGTCCAGGAGACAAATGGAAATGTGGGACTAAAACTTGTGAGAGCTCAGGAGACTTCTCCTCCTCCACCTCCAGCAGTAGATACACATACACAGAAGCCCCCAAAACGAGCCTTTTGGAGTACCGTTTGTAAAGTTCCCCTCTGGCCTTATTTCCTTTTTTCCAGTTGGACCAATTTTATTCGAGTAGCAGTGCTGTCAAAATATCCTGAGGTTTAGCTTTTTCTGCTTAGTCATAACTGTATTTGTATCTTCTAATTTTTAGACAAGATTGAGCATTAACTTTTGATAAAGAGATGGGTACGTATAGTGATGCTGTTGGGAGAAAAACATTATAACAAATGAATGTCTTTTGTATTCTCTGAACTTCAGTTCAAGCTACATGATATTTTACTAATGAGACACATAATAATGTGAATGATGCAACTATCCTGCTTTCCCTATTATAGATCAGGGTTAGCAAACTGTGGCCCATGGGCCAGCTGGCTGTTTTTGTAAATAAAATTTTAATTGGAACACAGCCACACTCATTTGTTTACATATTGTTTATGGCTGCACTAGAGCAACAATGGCAGAGTTGAGTAGTTGCAACACAGACCTTGTGGCGTGCAAGCCTGAAATATTTACTATCTGACCTTTTAAGAGAAAGTTTGTTGACTCTGTTATACATGAACCTGTGTATACAGGCTTTAAAAATTGCCTTAAGTTAAAAGTAATTTTTTAAAAAATCACTGTTTCAAGGTAACTTTTTATTTCTACCAAAAGTCAAAAATGATAGTATTTGATGCTGGTCAAGTTCCAGTGAAACAGATACATTCATATACTTCTGGTAGTTTTTCTAGTTGGTATACTTTTTGGAAAATGTACAGAATACATATATGGAGATATGTATAAAGCACCATAAAAATATTGATATCTGTAATCTTACAACACTGTTTTTGGGACTCAAACCTAGGAAATAATTCAAAAGAAGTATATATATAAAGATGTTTATCTAGTGTGATTAAAAATAGTGAACAGTTGGATAGAACCTTAATGCCTTTATAGTACATGACTAGTTAATCAAATTGTGGAATATCACTTCAGTGAGCAACCATTGAAAATGGTAGTTTTGAATATTTATGTACAAACAGTGAAAAACAGCATATACAGTCATGTGTTGCTTAAAGATGGGGATACATTCTGAGAAAAAACGTTGTTAAGTGATTTCATCATTGTGTGAACATCATAGAGTGTACTTACACTCACCTAGATGGTACAGCCTACTACACACCTAGGCTATCTGGTACTAATCTTACGGGACCACCATCCTATAGGCGGTCCATCGTTGACCACAATGTCATTATGCAGCGCATAACTGTAAATTGATGTGTATATCCTGATTACAGCTGTGTGTAGACGAAGAATCACGTGCAATAAAAATAATTAAAATAGGGTAAGGTGGTGGGATTATGTTTTTATCTTATTTAAAAATTTTTATTTCATCATACATTATTGTTTTCAATGATAAAAGAGGGAAAAGACTTTTCCCCAACACTGAAGTTACATTATTGTTTCCCTCAGTAGAGAGGGAAAAAACTCCATGCACTTTATAGCCCTCACTTATTCTACAAGTGGCCTCTCCTTCATCCAGTATTAACAGCACATGTCTTATCTGTGCCAAACAAAACGATTTGCTATTTTCTGCCCTTTCACAATATGTAGGAAACAGATTGTCTTAAGGAAATGATGTTCTGAAATTCACTTTAGTTAATCAGGGAAGAAATCAGTCTTTTGGTTGCATATAACTAGATTATGTCTGATGGCTCTCGACCTTTATTTGATTTTAGTTTTTTTCTGGTTGTGACAGATCGTTCTTGGAATTCAACGCAGATTATCTTTCTTTAAATTTAAATTTTATGTATAATTATATTTTGAATAGATAGTTGCTCAAATGGTTCAAAATTCAAAAAGTACCTAAGAGTATATAGTTAAAGTCTCTTTCTCCTCAAGCCCAACAGCTCCTCCTGCCCAGAAACACTCAATGTTATCAGATTCTTGTCATCCTTTTAGTGATATTTAATATGTAAGCAAATATGTATACAATTTAAAAAAATATTTTTTATACAAGTGATAGCCTACTCTACATGCTATTCTGCACTTTTTGTTTTGTTTCAGTAAACTTTGCTGGTGATTGCTTATCAGTATGTAATTGTTATAGAGTAGGCAATGGTTTTTTTTAGATATGACACCAAAAGCACAAGCAACCAAGGAAAAATAGATAAATTGGACTTCACGAAAGTTAAAAACTTTTATGCTTCAAAGGGTACCATCAAAAAAGTGAAACGATAACCCACAAAATGGGAGAAAATATTTTCAAATCATATATCTCACAAGGTACTTGTATCTAGAATATATGAAAAAACTCTTACAACTCAATAATTAAAAAAATATATAATCCAATTTTTAAAAATGGCAAAGGATCTGAATAGATATGTCTTCAAAGAAGATATAGAAATGGCCAATAAACACATGAAAAGATGCTCAATATTATTAGTCATCAGGGAAATGCAAATCAAAACCACAATGAAATACCACTTCATACCCACTAGAATGGCTGTAATCAAAATCACTGTAACAGGTGTTGGTGAGGACGTGCAGGAACTGGAACCTTCGTGCACCGCTGGAGGGAATGTAAAGTGGTGCAGCCACTTTGGAAAAAAGACTGATACTTTCTCAGAAGGTTAAATACAGAGTTACCATATGACCCAGTAATTCCATGCTAGGTACATACTCAAGAGAAATGAAAACTTGTATGTGAATGTTCCTAGTAGTTTGATTCATAATAGCCAAAAAGTGGAAACAACCCAAAGATTCATCACCTAATGAATGGATAAACAAAATGCAGCATGTCCATATAATCGAATGTTATTTGGCAATAAAAGAGAATAGAGTACTGATACATGCTACAACATGGATGAACCTTGAAAACATTGTGGTGAGTGAAAGAAGTCAGTCACAAAAGACTACATGTTGTATGATTTCATTTATGTGAAATGTCCAGAATAGTCAAATCTATAGACACAGAAAGTAGATTAGTGGTTGCCTAGGGCTGAGAAGGTTGGTAGAAATGGGAGAGTGTGACTGCTAAAAGGTGCATGGTTTCTTTTTGGGGTGATAAAAATGTTCTAAAATTATTCGTAGTGATGGTTGCACAACTCTGTGAATATACTAGAAGACATTGAATTGTATGCTTTAAGTGGGTAAATTTTATGACATGTCAATTATATCTCAATCAAGCTGTTATTAAAAAAAAAAAAAACTAGGCCTGATTATAGGTTCTTTACATCAGGTAAAACTGTAATCACTCAGAAAAAAAAAATATATTTCCCCTTCCTTTTTTTTGGCTGCAAATATGCTCCACCATAGTTCATTTAACTAGTCCCCTATTGATGGGGAATTTAGGTTGTTTCCAATCTTTTGTTATAATACATGGCCTTACAATTAATAACCTCTTATGTAGGTCACTCCATCCCTGGGAAAGTAAAGGTTCAAGTAGAATGTCATTTTTTAAAAATGTGAGGGTGGCTGTGGGACAAAAGTAAGTAGTAATTCAAATCATTTTTTGTTTTTTCTCTGTAGCAAATTGGAGCTGCCTGCCCCTGTGCTCCCAACACTCTGGGATCTTCATATTAAAATACGTATTAGTCAGGCTTCTGTTTTTGGCACAGAAACTTTGTTTTTCCCCGGCTTGTCCATGTCACATTGTAGAAAATGGCAATAACTGTGCAAAGAATTTGTGTACCAAGGGATTAGCTTTCAAGGTTATTTCTAAGGGATCAGTTTAAATTATAAATGTTAAAATAAAAATACTTTAGGGTTACATTTCCCTCATTGGGTTTAAAGGCTATTTATAGCTTGCTTTTTATCATTCTAGGAAATCATGTCATTATCCAAACAAACGGATGCACACCCCATCTGCATCCTCTTCTTTTCTGACCTGTGATCATTCAGAGAAGGAGTTGGTCCTTTTGACCTCTGTTTTGCTCCCGCTGACTCAGAGAGGGATGAGCTATTTATCTGTGCCCTTGCTGATACCCAGGTACTCAGTTATGCCTTTGAACATGCCTTGAGGGCATGAGCCACATATTCTCCATTATTTGAAAAATCTATTCTGCCGAGGACTGTAACTGTCTAGCGTACACTTTTTGCAGAAAAGGAAAATGAGTTCTTTGCCCTGTGTTTATAACTTCAATTTTTTTCTGCCGTAACTGTTCTGTGTGCTTTTGAACCAGTTCTACAATCTGGTTACCTCTCTTTCCCATTGTTAGGTTCAGGGCCCTCGAGATAAAGTCAGTATCCTGGACTTCTTGCTTAATTAGTTATTCATCCAATAACTACTTATTAAGTCTCTTTTACATTTAGCACTCAGTTCTGGGTGCTGCAGCATATATAGAATATGTATATATAAATAAGGCCTTAGCCTGAGCGAGCCTACTGTTTAGTTAGAGACATGAGGCCCACATAATAAAAGAAAACCAGCAACATGAGAGGCCCAGGTAAGGCCAGTCTGGCAGCACAGAACCCAGTGAGGAGGCCACTCTAGTAATTCTTAAATTAATAGGTATAGGCTGAGCTGTAAGGATGACAGGTGAATGCACGGAAAGGGGACAAATGTGAACAGTCCTAGGAAGAGAGGCATGGTAAACTTGGCTTTTGCTTATATTCTTTTTTTTTTAGAAAATATTCTATTTCTTTTTTTTTTTAATTTTTTGTTTATTGCAGTAACATTGGTTTATAAAACTGTAAAAATTTCAGGTGTACATCATTATACTTCTATTTCTGCATAGATTATTTCTTGATTGTGGGTTCTGTCACTGCAGTGCTCGATGGGGACCTTGGATTATATCTCACAGCGCTGCCAGTTGGCTCTGCAGAATGTCCATGGTGAGGCAGACAACGGCGATGTCTCTTTGAAATCCTTGGAGCCTGCAGTTTTGAAACAAGGAGAAGAAATCCACAATGAGGTGAGGACTTGGAAGAACTGTGAAGGGTCTGAGATGCTGTCCTGCTTACAAGCTAACAAGTTAATCTGTCACAGTTTCATATGGGTGTAAGACCTGAGACTCCTAAGTCAGAGACAGTTTATTACTTAACACAATAGCAGTAGCCAGACTGTCAGCATTTTTGTGCCAGTTCTCCAAGCCTCTATTTCCTCAGAGCTGTGCAGAGTGGGCCAGATAACGTGCACGTGGAGGGTTGCACTATAGGAGAGGAACCTGAGCTCAGGGAACCTGCATCTTTTATAATGAGTAGTAAGCATGCCTGTCCTTTGCTCCAAATCAAGACTCTGTCTTTATCCTTTGTCTGTTAGCAAACCTGTCCTTTGTTCTAGAGAGAGAAACTTCCCAAGCTGTTCGCTACACCAACATCATTGCAATGAGTCTGAAACAAAGGGCAGTCATTATGTTGCTCACAAGACATGCAGAAGCACAAGAGACCCATGGAGAATAGTCTCCCAACAGGACTGATGGGAATTGAGGGTGGACCCCAGGATCAAGGTCAGTGCCTGGCCTTTTGTTTACTAGTGGCAGTTCTGCAGTCTGTGACACCAGCAGGTCTGGATCCATGAGTTGATGTTTCATAACCTTTGCTGTTCTCATTGATGCCCTTCCAATTTTTGCTTTGTCTTTGGACTACATATATTTTTTATCTATTTAATCCCTTTTTAAAATCCACTGCTTTTTTATGTAAATAAATATCTTTAAAAAGGAAGCTTTATGTTACCCCTTTAAGTGGAAAGCCAGTATCACTAGCCAAAAGAAAAAGTAACCAGAAGAATATAGCCAGTGAAAACAGAGAGCAGTGTTATTAAATTCCAGCAGATGCTCTTGCTGGGAGAAGGTTCTGAGCCTGAAGTCTTCATTCTTCATGTTAAGAAGGGAGATTAGTGCACAACTTCATACATATTCTAAAAGTTGTTGAATTCTACACATAAAATGGGTGAATTTTATGGTAGGTAAATTATACCTCAAAAAAAAAGGGCCAGCCCTGGTGGTTTAGTGGTTAAGTTCAGTGTGCTCTGCTTCAGCGGCCTGGGTTCAGTTCCTGGGTGCGGACCTACGCTACTCGTCTGTTAGCGGCCATGCTGTGGCGTCGGCTCACATACAAAAAAAAAAGAGGAAGATTGGAACCGGATGTTAGCTAGGGCAAATCTTCCTCAGCCAAAAAAAAAACTATTAAAAGGAGAAAAGGGATTACCAAGTGTTGGAGAAGTGTTGAAGATTAACCAAGTGGTAGAGAGTTGTTGAAGGTTATCACCAATCTGAGACTTTTTCTTTGATATAATTAGGATTAATAGAGTATTTGGAATACAAAAATGTTCTCATTCATCCTTTTAATAAATAATTGAGCATGTGCCAGGCACTCTTCTGGGTGCTTTAGGATATATTGGTAAATAAAAAAGACATTCTAGTACAGAAAGGTGACAATAAATAATAAACATAATACATCAGTTAATTATATAATATGTTAGAAGTTGATAAGTGCTACAGAAAAACTAAACAGAGCAAGGTAATGGAGATTGAGATACATGGAGAACATCCCCACTGAGAAGATGTCCTTGGAGCAGAGACTTGAAGGAGGTGAGGGAGTGAGCCATGTGGATATCTGAGGAATAGCATTTTGGGTAGAGGGAACAGCCACTGCAAAGACTGTGAGGTGGGAGAATGCCTGCTGTTCGTGGACTAGTTAGGGACAGTCTGGTTTGAGTGGCAGGAGTGAGGCTGTGAGTTACAGGAGATGAGGTCGCAGACGTGGTCCTGGGGGCTGAAGAGCAGTGGATTGTATCGGTCCTTAGAGGTCCCTGTAAAGGACAAAGACTTTCCTTTTTACACTGAGGGAAATGAGGAGTCAGTAAGGGATTCTGAGCAGAGGAGAAGCAACGTCTGCTTCCGCAATGTCATATAGTATCTTTAAAAAGCTATTTCACATCTTATGAGCTGCTCCACACTTTGTGACACAGTGCCATAATCTCCGGAACCAAAGGCAAAGAAATTCAGGGAAATAATAACCATTTCTAGTGCTAAGCTGAACCCAGGACCGACTTTCTTCCCTTCATTGTGCCTGATAAGTGTCCCAGCTTCTCTCCCATCAGTCTTTGCCAGAGACATTGCTGATAGCTAGAACTTGAGGAAAGATAGCATTTATGGGCCTGGAGACCTCACTGAATTAGACTTGGGAGCAAAGTCATGTCTTTCTCCATGTTTGTGGTGCAGAAATTCCACTTTGGAAATGTAATTCTTTCCTTCTCTAAAAACCTTGCAGTTTTAGGAGTCAGGCTAGCTTGAGCGTTCTCTTTAACATGCAGATGGGCTGTTTTTCCCCCGCTCCTTCTGGTCTTCGTCTGTGACTGACTGTGATGTTTTGTTATCATCAGTGGGCGAGGGAAATCTGTAAAATCACTCTGTTTATCTAACAGTAGAATATTGTCATGAACCCATCTACTTCAAAAAGTGGCTGGCTGCTTTTGGCATTGTATATGTTAGCACAGTGGGGCAGAGATGTATCAGAAACCTCAGCCCCTTGAGGTTGGCCTAGGGTTGAATGGAGGGAGATCTTGAATCTAAATAGCATGTGTGCCAGCCTCCCCCATCCCCCCAATCTTTGACTCTTCAAGGTCATCTCCTTACTGGAAGAATTAATTCCATGTGTCGGGGCACATCGTCAGACATTGTTCTTTGGCTGTCCAAGTTGGCCTGGGATGAGCACTTGCATGTTCACTCTCACTGTGTTCTGTTATTAAACAAAAACACAAACGTCCATAATAGTTACCCTGGTTTCTTATTGTTTGCTTTCCTCTTTCTTAAAGGCCTGTGCCTTTGCCCGACTAATTATCGGGGGAAGTCCTCAGGTTTATATGCTGCAGGCTTTCAGGCTATGTGGGATCAGAAGTGGCTTGTTTTCCTTGTCTTAGATGGTTTCCAACCAAGCAATTTGGGAACTTTGGGATTAGAACTGAGTACCTTAAGAAGACATTTTTTTTTTTCCAATTTAAGATGTTTAGAAAAGATTTCTGTTCAGATAAGCAGAATCTTCCTTTGTGTTATTAAATAGTCTGTTTTCCTTCTCAAGAATGTGACATGTAGAATTGAGTCTCTCCATCTAGCAAATTTCCCCCAGGAGAGTGTACTGCTTGATGTCCTCATTTGGTTCTCATTTTGTTGTGATCAGACCTGCATCTTCCTTAGAGCTGTTGTGAAAGGGCCTTCACAGAGCAGCTCTTTGTAGATTGGACCTTAGCATCTCTCCCTGGGCTAATGTCTTTCTCGGTGAAATAACTTACTTCAGTTATTACAGTGGGACATTAACTCCTGTGAGCACGTTCACACGTCTCATGAGAGAACTCCCTGAGCTGACCTGGGACCAAATCAAGAGCCCAAACTAACTTGGCAGAAGACAAGCAGGCAATACTTGCTTACCTGTAAGAGTGATGGAGATGAGTTATAACTGTATGGTGATGTTGTGGCTCAGAAATACAATTTTGGAATCTTATAAGCTTTGCTCCCTGATGCCTAAGTGCTCCGTGACCAAGAAAGTTCAGGTAGGTAGGTGGATTCTGTTTCTTCCTCCCCTTCAGACTTTTCCTAGACATTTCTAGGAGAAAAACTTTTCTTGATTGATCTCTTTTTTGACTATTGCATGGAGAAGGCAGGTACAGATTAGTTGAGAGGGTAATAGAGATGGTTTTTCTGGGTCACAGCTATGAAATGAACACTGTTATGAGCATGTTTTCATTTTTCTCTGATGATTCAGAGGTCCCTTCCGGATCCTGCCCGGGCTCTAGGCTGTCAGAATGCCATCGGGTACCTGTGGGCACTACTTATCTTTGTATTGTAATTGCTCAAAAGATTGAATAGTGGTGAATTTCCATTAAGTGCCTGTCTGAAATCTGGGAGTTTAATTTATAACATCATGAACCCTGAGAGAACCTCAAGAGAGCTCCTGTATGGTATCTCCCTGCTGCTCACATCTTCAGGACTCTGGATCACCCATGGAGTGTTCCTTGGCCTCAGTCAGCTGCTGCCCTCCTCATGGCTTGTCTCTTATTTCCACTCTGGTAGCCGTGAGCCTCCCTGGAGGGCCCACACTCTGGAGAAGGGATGAAGACCCTATTCCTATCATGGCTAGAACTTTATCAGTCAGTCATTATGGTTAGACTTTGATTTTTTTTAGCCCTGAAGTAATAAGGTTTCCATTCTATTCTGAGTCCTGACTCTTCAGTTTTTGTGCAGCGTCCACCCGTAGCTTTCCTTTCTCAACCTCAGAGTTCAGGGGGAAAAACCCAACATTTTTTTATTTTGGTAACTCAGACTCTGAACCAAGCACCTGGAAATATTTTTTGCTTCCTTAATTAATTTTAAGAAAGGAGCCAGTTACTTCTCTTGGCAGTGGGGGGACTTGTGAGGGTGGCATTTGATTAAAATCCTGTAATATTATTTGTGTGCCACATTGAAATGGAAAAGTCGGGTTATGGAGTTGAATAAAATGCAGGCCAGTAGATTTGATGCTGCAAAGATTGTATCATGGGGACAATACTTCCGCTCATGAATAAAACTCGGTTGGGAGTAAGTCCTCAGTGTTCCCTTTTCTGACTGGCTTCAGTGAAAGGCATGGGCATGCATTCACATGGATGTTAAAACTCTTCCTGCTCAAAAAATGTCATGATTGTGAGATCTTTGAGGACAGTAGGTTCTAGTCCTTGTGGCCTTGTTCTGTTTGTATTCTCAGTATCTAGCAAGTGCCTGGCATATAGTAGGGCGTTCATTATTAACCCACTTAATCCTCACCACAAACCTATGTGGTTATTATGTAATTATCCTTATTTTACAGATGACATGGCTCTTCAGTAGTGGAGCCCAGTTCTGAACTGACGCCAGAGCCCTTGTTAACTGTGACACTCTCTGCCTCAAAAGGTAGTTGGGCGTCTGAGGAGAAAGGTGAAATCATTCTTTATTAAAAAGGACGGGGTCTGTCTTTGCTCTCTTGTCTGGTAGCAGAGTCCCTAGGTATGCCCCTCTCCTTGTTGCTGGATTTTAATTGACTGAAATCCAGACTGTAGCAGACCCTGACAGGTTTCATGAGCTCATCATGTGTGATAATCTGTGTTATTTCCTGGGGTAGTGTGGTGGCCCAGGCGTACACGCTTTGTCCTCATCCATGGAGATAACCAGCCCAAATGTAGGAAAACCTTTTAAAAATCTTTTCAGCTCTCCCTAACAGAGGGCTTGAAGCTCTGCTGACAGGCTATTCCTGCAGTGTGAACAAATTTCATGTGAAATCTTTAAAAAGAACTCTTTTTCTTGTAATAAATAATGTTGTTAAACTTATATCTTCAGAGAAGTTGAACTACACTTGTATTCATTCTGCTTTCAAAGCAGTCAAGTTTACTTCTGTTAACCGCTGTCTTTTAATACCACAGATAAAGTTTAGCAACTATTGTCTTAATATTGTCTACATTCCTTTTTTTTTTTTTTTTTTGTTTAAACAGCTTTAACTCAAATCAGTTCTACATATCAAACAAACATTTAGTTAATGTAAACTAAAACCCTTTCATATGACTTGGTGTTCTCAGGTTAGTTATTTGAGCCATTTTCACCATTGTTCAGTCTTCACAAGTTGCTTTTGTTTGCCTCATGAAAGTTCAATATGGATAAACAAACAAAAAAATTCTTTGTGGTAACAGGTGAAGACTATAATAGCTCTGTGTCTGTATATGGAACACAATTACCGTAGCCAAGTCAGGTGACCCAACATTAAGCTGTGGAAGCTCGATATTTTTTTAGAGGGTGGAGGTAAAAAGAGTTGTGGGGATGAATGGAGTTGTACTTTGATGGTACAATTTGATTTTTTCAAGTTGAAGATGAATGATAGAAGACTCGGAAAATAGATAGAAAACAATTTCTTATCCTCTCAACGCTTTACTCAGTCTCTCATCTATATGTATGGGGATGATTTCAACTGCAGAGGACAGAAAACTCAAACTGAATTGGTTTAAGCAAAAAGGGCTTTAGGAATAGCTTGATCAAGAGTCAGTTGGTGGCACCAGGACCTGGTTTTTATCTGTTCATCTTGCGGCTGCTTCTTACTATGTTGCCTCCATTCTGCAAAACGCTTGCAGAATCTTCTTCCCATATCTTCTCACAGTCTCAAGACTTACTCTGATTGAACATGTGCCTGTTCCCCCCAACTCAATTCTGTGACTAGAGAAATGTGGTGGGCTGATGGGCTTAGATGGGTTCTGCATTCCACCCCTGGTGTTAGAGCTGGAGCTCTGCCCAGATCACATGGACTGAGGCTGGGGAAGGGGGTGGGTTACCAAATGAATAGTGGGATTTGGCTAGAATAGAAGGAGGAATACTAAGGAGGCAAATAATAGAAGTTTACCACAGTAGGTTCATAGGAGGGAAAATAAATTGTTAGTGTCTTTGCTGCTCTTTGTATCTATTTTCATTTGCCCTGAGTTGACAAGTGACAATTTGAATGGCTCTGTAGGCTTAATATATGTATGCCTTCATAATTAACTTTATATTGTTCAGTTATATGGGTGGACAATATCACCAGCTCCTCTTGGCCCATGGGTAAATTCTTTACGTATTTTAAGTCTAAGAAACTTAAAACTGATCTCTCCTAATATGTGTCTGTGTTTTGCTCTTAATACTAGTCTTTAATAAAGATGTTTAATAAAAGCATATTTTGTTTGATTATATCTTTCTCACTATACATAGTGCAGGCTGCTGTATACTTTGAGATCTCATTATTTGTTGCTGATTGACTTACAGTTTCCTCATGTCTGACTCATAAATGTGATTGAAAATCCCTCCCCATCCTGACCTGGGTTATCTAGCTAAGCTTTAAGACTATCCTTTTCTTGGCTCTGCACAAATGCTCTGGAGACTCTAAGTTATATTGGGAACTGGTTAGGCTGAACTTTTCTCATCTTTTCTCACCCGGTGGCTGTTAAGTTCCTGGAGGAGAATTGAGTGACGAAGTTATTGTCCTTGATTGTGCATCACAAGGGCCTTATAACCACTGCCTTGTCTTTATGGTCCACAGGTCGAGTTTGAGTGGCTGAGACAGTTTTGGTTTCAAGGCAATCGATACAAGAAGTGCACTGATTGGTGGTGTCAACCGATGGCTCGACTGGAAGAGGCGTGGAAGAAGATGGAAGGCGTGGTAAGTACATGAGATCCTGGACTGTATTTTCTGAGATGTTGTGCTATATACATCCTCTGCCGCCTAATTTGTGTGGATAAATACATATTTAATTATTCTAAATTATTGGTTAGGTTCCTCCTGGTAAGGTAATGTGGACAGCTGGGATTTTTGTCAGTACAACCTCAGTTCAGTTCAGTGAATGTTCACTGAGCATTTCCTACATAGAAGGCACCGGGTTAGACACAGTGGGAAGCGACGATGTGGGGAGAGCAATACCACAGTAATCTCGAAGATACATTTGCATTTTTATATGCACCAGGCACTATTCTAAGAGTTTTTCCTGTGTTAACTTTTAAAATCCTTAGAATGGTCCTGTGAGGTGCAGAAACTGTTGTGAGCCTTAATTTATAGATGTGAAATCTGAAGCACAGAGCAATTAAGTGCTTTGCCCAAGGTCACCGAATAAGTAGCAGAGCAAGATTGAGACCCAGGCAATCTGGCGCTATAGTTTGTGCTTTTAACCACTACATTCAGTTTAACAAGGAGAGAGACGTGAATATAGCCAGGTGTTACGTTAGCTAAAATGAAATCCTGTAATAGAGATTTAAAAAAAGTCACAGTCCAGAGGAGGGAGTATTAAATTCAGACCAGTGGAGCTGGGACTGTTGTGAAACAGCAGATGTGGCTTTTGGGGACCTTGGCTGGGGAGGAGTAGGGTCAGATAGGGTATTTGGAGAGGAACATTAGGCTCCAGAACTGTGAAAACAAGATCAGAAGTGGGGAAGTGCAGTGTGACTAGAGCAAGGAATTCAGGAATTCAGGGGATGTAGGAGGAAATGTAGCTGGAAGGCAAGTTGAGGCCACTTGGAGGTCTCGAATTAAGTCTTAATTTAAGTAATGGTAATCATAGCAAACACTTGCATGATACTTATTAAGTACCAGACACTATTCTAAATGTTTTATATATAACTTATTTAACTTTTATGACAACCTCATAAAGTGGGTATTATTTTTCCCCGTTTTACAAACAAGGAGACTGAAGCACAAAAAGTTTACGTAACTTCCTCAAGGTCATACAACTAAAAGTGGGGAACTGGGATTAGAACTCAGGAAGGCTGGCGCCAGGGTCCTGCCGCCTCACTGTTCCGCCTCCAGATAGTTGAATTTGGAATGTAGTGGAAAAGTGATAAAAGCCTGCTAAACTCTTGAGATGGTACCACTGCGCAGACTTTGAAATGTGCTAGAAACTAATCTGCAAAAATAGGTAGCTATTGCTAATCCTGTTCTGTAATAATGAAAATAGCAGATCACAACCCTAAAGGGGCCCCAGGTTGAAAGTTTGGGTCGGAATCCAGAAGTGCCCTGCTTTCCAGACATCTCCTCAGATCTTTAAACCGTGCCTTTTCGTGGACGTATGTCTGAGGAGGGAATGTTATAACCTTTCTTTCAGTATACTAGTAGTAGCACAGAAATGGGTTTCTCCAAAGACACGAATCCGTGCAAAACTGAGCATTGTAAAAGTGAGTTGGAGGTAATGAGGAGTCCGTGCCTGCATCTCCCGAGTTAGTTCTGTTCCCAGCATTAGCCTGTGTAGAGTGTGCTCCATTTTTACGAGATGGTGTGTATAAAGGCAGCTTTGGTGTCAGGGGATTTGTTTTTCATTGTGTAAATCTGGTTTTGTCCCTTTACATCTGAGTTAGAACTTCTTTCCTTGCTGAACCTTGTCCCTAAGACATCAGCTTGACTTTGGGATTCTAGTTTGTTAACTCTACAAATTAGAGTTGGCAAATAAATAAGAAAGAACTCACTGATTTTGTCAAAAAAAAAAAAAGCTTTTGAATTGCTTTTGTTCAAGAGTTTCTTTGAAATCTTTGGTGTTGTCAGCTTTCCAGTGATGTCCATCATGAATTCATTTAAAACATTTAGTTATACTGTTTTTTTTTAATTTGGTGGCGATGGCACATTAGTTAGATGGAATATCTTCTATTTACTTTGTAGCTGTTGTGTAAGAAATACTAAAAAGAAGAGCAATCTTGGGAATTCTCCAGAGCGAGTTTCCTTGCGGTTGGTGTGGCATTACTAAGTGTTCTGAGTACCATCAATGGCCTCAGTGTCTCTCAGCAAACCTCAGACTGATCATTATCAGCAGAGAGAAGGTTTGGGCCAAAAGAAAAGGGATGGTACTTCTAAATTAAATTTAAGCATTGCTTCAAGCCTTTTTAAATGACTTTTAACAAATTCATAATAATTTATTTTTGCAATTGGAAGAGACAGAAGAGAATGATCACTGGAAAAGTCTGTGGTTCTATGGCTCTGTTAGTGTAATGCCATCTGGTATTTGTGCCCTCTGGGTGGAACTAGCACTGGCTGGTTAAATTCCTACTTGGTACCACCTCATATTTTTTCAGCTGCAAGCAGTAGGGGGCAATGTTGAGCTACCAGTTTGAGACCCCCAGATGCTAGCCTTTCAGAAAAATGCATACAAATGTACCATTAACTGTCAAGAATTATCCCTGTTGCTTCAAGTTAGCTGTAATCTCCAAGATTCCATAACACAGGAAATCAGTTGTGGGTTAACAAATTCAACAGCAATTTAACATAAACAGTGCAGTGTTTGGTGCACATTTGGATTCTATAGAATTAGACTAATCTAAAGAGCCTTTCTGAGTACTCACTGCTGCCAGGGAATATATTACTCAGAACTACTACCCTTTTAGACAAATGATTCTTCTGTATATTTATGCTTTTTTTGAATTGTAAAATCATGTGTGTATTGTGGAAAGACTTCTAATTAATGTATTTTGTCTGTTCTGCAACATAGCATCCATCTCTTTTGGCGAGAAAATAAAACAAAAAACCTCAGGCAATATGTACATTGCTTTTCACCTTTTGCTTATGAGTAAAGCTACCTTTGACAGCCCTCGTACCAGGGAAGAGACTCCTGTTGTAATTTCTCTCTGTGTTTGTGTTCTTTTATCCACTTTGTGGCTGGAAGGTGTGGTCTCAGGTAGGATATAGAAGAAGACTGGAAAATGAGCTTTGAAATCACATTTCTTCCATTAATAGTAGTTGCTTCACATGTCATAACCAGTCACATATTTCAAAAAGTTCAGTCAGCTGTCTCTAAAAGTCCCCAGCCTCCACTTCCCATTCCCTGTCCCAGCAAACTCCGTTGTTATCACACTGTTTATTCTTGCCATTTCTCTCCCGGAGGAGCGTTTTACTCTTTGCATGCTCTTGTGATGTAAATGTTAGACCTTATATTTGAATGACATTCTGATAAAATATCACATTTTCCATGAATATTACCTCATGAATTTATGAGCCATTAAGCCCAAAGCAACATAACCCTTTCTGACAACTCCGGAATTTAGCCTAGCCTTTCCTCTCATTTTGCTTGCTATTCAGGAAGGTATGATAACACAATAACACTATTCAAATATTTGTGTTTTATTTTATTTTTTTTTAAATCAGCCCACCACCCCACATCCAAGATTAGCGTATTATGAGGAGACTGTTCAGGATAAGAGAGAGTTACCATTTGAAAGAAACTGTACAAGCTTTGCTCTCTGGGTAAAGAGAAATATGAAAAGCTGAAGTCTCCTGTGAGGTGAGGAAGCCTTGCTGTAGCCCGAGATTCAGTGGATAGACCATCTGTCTCTCAGGGTCTGGTATCGCACTTTGCAAAACTGACATTTATTTTACCTATAAAAATGTTTTAACACTATCAAATTCACAGTGATACAGAAAAGAATGTTAGGTGTGCTGTCATCTAAATTGATGACATTTATTCATTTTCTTTTGACCTTAAAGAAAAAGGATCAATTTGGTATAATCCAATGGAAATATTCTAGAATAGTTTCCAGAGTAAACATTTTCAGAAGTACTGATGATTTACATACTGGAGAGAAATTTCCTCATGCCTTTTAATTTTAGAAGAGGAGAGGAGATCCTGATGGTTTGTAGTGTTTTGACTTGTGCTTCCTGTCTTGACAGTTCCTCGTGCTGTGAGAGCAGTGCGTTTATATGGCAGTTGGCGTTAATAACCTTTATTGACTTGAATGGGTGGGAGCCAAGACTGGATTATTTTAATGCATCCGTTTTGAAACAGTGTAAAACACAACATATAATTATGTTAGGTAAGCTATAGGCTACGTTTAATTCTACCCATTTATGTTAAAATTTGGCACAGGAGAGCAGAGAGATGTGGAAAATGAGTAGGTGTTGTATTTAAGACTGTTACCAGTTTCTTGTTGTTGAAGTTTTAAGAGACAAATGCACTTAAGAATGTAAAGATTGTCCTTTACAAGTTCGTTAGGATAGTTTAATTTCAAGATGAGTCATGCCTTTTTCCTTGTCATTTTGACCTGCGTAAATCATCTGGGAACGCTCATGCCAGGAGCCTGTCCTCTGCGGAGCGGCTGAGCGCCTCTGAGTATAGGTTACACAGTCGCAGGGATGATTGAGCTGAGGGGCAGTTTGTTTGTTTTTGGAGAGATTAATGAAGCTATCATCACAGTGCTTTAGATTAAATTCTTTGTGACTGAATAGAGGCACAAGGCTGCTTTTCCATAGACTGAAATATATACGGAGTATACTGGTATTTGCTATCATGTTATAGTTCAATTAGCTAAGTTCGTTTTAAACGTTCTTCTAGGATTTAAGATTTTTTGAGGTGTGAGGAAGAAAGTGATATAAATATAAATACTATTTTTTGTTCATATTAATGGTGCAGTCACCAACTTATATATATATATATTTGTGCATTTACATTCATATATATCTCTCCCTTTTAGTGTTAATGTTTATACTAAATTATATCTGCTAACGTAATCTTGTCTTCCATCTTTCCAAGTTAGCATTTCTGATATAGGAGCAGAGTATATTAGAGTAATTTAGGATCTGAGGTGAGATGGCTGGTGGTGTTAAATTAAAAGTTAAATTCCCTTCTCCCTTTTTTCACTGGTACGGTGCTGAGTGGCTCAGGATAAGCACAGATTGGAGGATAAGCACCGATT